TCTATATCTATATCTATATCTATATCTATATCTATATCTATATCTATTTCTATATCTATAATAAACAAACTAAAAAACTTTCTCCTAGGCTTCTGTTTATTCTTATCTCAACCCCCATGGCAGAACTTTCTGTCTATTTCTAGGTGTAAAACATGCAAAAAAAAAAGATTAGCCAAACATAAATTCTTATCGCTGGGGCTTCTGTGTATAGAGCGTTGCTTGCTGGGAGGATTTGAACTGGCTTAAGACAACTTGTACCCAGCGCCGAAATAGCTCAGTTGGGAGAGCGTTAGACTGAAGATCTAAAGGTCCCCGGTTCAATCCCGGGTTTCGGCAAGCTACATAATTTTTTTTTATTTTCTTTTTTTTTTTTGGTCAGAATTTAGGAATATTTAATGCAAATCGAAGCGGCAGAAGAGATGTCTTGAATACAGAATTTAACTATTATATATCCATAAATAGTTGTTTGGGTATAGTTGTGAGTTCTATTAATTTGGTCCACTTTCGTCGAATTGTGTCCATTGCCAATTACATTGGTATGCTGGAAAACAGGAAGAGATACTAATATTTCGTCTTCCCTGAAGACTCTGTCTTTGAACTCTTACGAATTCTTAATGTTGTATTTAAAGTCCTTGGTCAAATTTCTTAATATTTGTATAATATATTTGCATAGTCCATATGATGGGGAACCTTGTGAACTTTCGGTAGTCCATTTATCCTCGGATATATTCTTTCGTCCTTTGAAATAAGTCCCATCTTAAATAATTGTGTCACAAGGTGATTATTATTCTTTGTCTGTAAACTCGTTGTCGGATCCTGTCGTCCAAAATATTTGTCATTTTATATTTGTAATCGTCCACATCCATTGCAACTTGTCAGAAAAAGATATAGATCAATATCAGAACTTAAGATTAAAGACAACTATGCACAATTTCGACTACGTATTCCTGTAAAATTCCTGAAAGTATTAAACTCCGACCTCTTACTATATGCCGCAACTATTTCAAATGTTTCGCGAGTCTAGACAAGCGGAGAGCTCAGTTCAGTTAAGCTGGACTCTGTCAAAAATATACTCACAGAGCATGATAAGTGTATTAGAAACCAATATTGAGAACGGCAACTAAAATTGGCAAGGCAAAAAGAAAAATATGGACATTAATTATACTTAATTAAAATATAATTGTTCAGAGCTGAGAGTGCAGACCCTATAGACCGACCGACCGACCGACCGACCGACCGACGAACTGTGCACACCTGCTAATGCGAACGGGTCAATAAATTATCGATAAATGCCACATATAGTTAGATAGATAGTTGAGTTGAGCAGTTCGATGCATATCAGGGGCAATAACAAGACGCGTATAGCAATAATTGCTGAACTATCATAATTAGAAACCGGAGTCGCAAGTGGGCGAGTACTTTTCTTGGGCACTGTGCAAATAATTATGCCACCTGGGCAGCAAAGGGAGAGTCTACGATCAATTAGGCATCTAATGCTCTAATGATCTGTTGTTATTGTTTTCTAACTACAGGAAAAGTAAGAGGTTGTGCGCATTTGCAAATTGCGAGCTCGACTAATGGAATCTCATTTGACATCTATTGAAATAGATTATTCCCGCAATTAGAGACGATTAGTTTGGAATGCAGTTGCTGTCACTTTTTGTTAGCATCACATAAAGTCGCATAATCCACAAAAAAAAAAAAAAATAGAAAGAACTCAACTATTTAATCATTAGGCCTTTCTAATGCATCATAAATAGGCGACATTCTGATAAATAATCGATCTGTCGTCTAATTAATACGCATTGGATTTGTCCTAATTGGCTTAGTTCGAAGAGTCTGAACAATGCATTTCACACGTGTGCTGATCGTTTTAGATTCACTTTAGAATATCGATAACGATATCGATTTTTCAATATTTTGCCTAAAGTATATCGATAGTATTTCATTTCTATTCGATTCCTTATAGATTTAGTCGGAATATGAATATGCTATGGGAATATCGTTTCAGTCATTTTTAAATATCGATTATTTATATCGATAGCTTATACTAAGATTCAATTTAGAGCATCGATAATGATCGATTATTTAATATTTCGCTTACAGTATATCGATAGTATTTCATTTCTATTCCATTTCCTTTAGAATATAGGAGTATAAACGCCAAATCGAAATAGCAGATCCATTATTTTTATCGATCATTTATATTACAGTCAGCATTACGATAGATCGTATTGTGGAATATTTCTTCCAAATTCACGTCAATTTATAGTAAGATAAACCTTTTACAATTCAACATTCTATTTAGCTGCAGCTATGTGTATAATATTTCATTTCGACTTGGCGTTTCATCGATTATTATCATTCCATTTCCATAATACTCATATATTCCAATTATATAAATAAAGATAGCTGGCGCTCAGCATATTGCCATTTTTGTACTTTATTCGATAAATTGATTACTCATTCGATCTCTTGAAGATTCATATCGATAAATTTCCGATAAAGAATATCCGATAACTTTCCGATAAATATAACAATCGATTCTATTCAAAACTGGCATGAAATACATGCAGTTAAGTGAGCATCAGAATCGTTTTTGTTATCGATAAATTCAACGTTTCACTTCGATTCCAAGTACTTAGCATATCGATAAAGATGCAATTGCCAGCTGAGTTTCATGCGAATTCTAAATTTACATTCTACATTCACCGGATTAAAATAAATTTACACGAAAAGTCAACGATGAGAATATCGTTATCGATTAACATATCGAGAAAAAATAATAATGCCCTTTTGATTGGCTATTTAAATTGACGGCGCTTCGGCTTCACTTTCCCCGCCGACTTCAGTTAGCTGATGGAAATTAACAATAACATATTAACTATGAATCGAATGTTAATCAAATGCAGTCACACTTATGCAATGTAAATGCTATAAATGCACGAATTGTTGCGAGATTCGTGACGAGTCTCTTCTCTAGAGAGCGAGGGAGGGCATTCAAGAAGCTGCTTAAAATTGCCGAATGTGAATTTGAATGGAAATGAATAAATATTTTTTAAATGCCTGCCAGCCACTCATGTTGTTATTAAACAAATGTCGAATCATTTATCTAACAAGTTTTGCCAGCGCTCCATTGATGATGAGTCTCACATCTCCAGACGTTAGATATCTGATTGTTTCTCTCTGCCTTCTTGTCTTTGCCAGGCCAGCTTCCGCTGATAAGGCGCGCTTGTCAAATTACTCGCAAATTTGTCAACTATGTTATATTTGTAGCTTTCGATATCGCTGATTGTCGCCAACTTATTTGTAATTTGTGTACATACACAATTTGCTTTCGCAAATATTTAACAGCAACAAATTGCAACAAATTAAGTTAAGTAAATTGCCCAAAGTTCATAGAGCGACCCTTCTTGATTGTGTGTGCATCATTTTTGATCATTCCGATATTCTGGTACTTTCCCAGATGATTCCTCTTTTCAGCTTTTGCTTAAGCTAAAAGTTTCTTGCTTTAAGTTTTTATTTCTTCAATCAATCAGTTCTTTTATTCAATCATCAATCTTTTGTCTACTTCAAATTCTTTGGTTATCATAAGATATCTATATTGATCTTTACACACAAAAACAATAGCTAGAATTCTGTGCTAATATCCAAGAGAAACGTTTTTGAGTCTCGACCAAGTCCGAATTGTCTTAAACTTAGACAAAATTCTTGTTTTAAGCACTTTTATTGAATCAAATTCAAAGCATTTCAGAAAATTTGTGCGTCGCTTAGGCATGTAAATTCCTGTAATAGCTAATTTGTAATTTGATCAAACTATTTCGTTGTTAATTCCAGCTATTTCGTACTTAGTTCAAGCTGTTGCGTACTTAATTCAAACTTTTTCGTACTTAATTCAAGCCTTTTTTTCATATTTTGTTCACTTTCGAAATCAAATCATTATCCTGTTAGATTGTTAGTAAGTATTGGTATATCTTTTTAAATTCTTGCTTTCTTCGTTTTCTACTTTCAATTTTTGATCTTGATCAACAGCCGAATCGTTATAGCCACGCTCCACTGTCTGTCCGTCTGTCTGTTTTCTATGCAAACAAGTTGCTCAGTTTTAAAGCTTTCGTCTTGAAACTTTGCCGGATCGGGGCACTATAACATATAGCTGTAGGGAATACATTCTTTGTTAATCAAGATATCTGGATGAGAACCGACATTAACTGACTTAACTATTCTGCCTATAACTGAACCAAGTCTTATTAAGTCTATAATATATAGATCTAAAGGAAGAATCGTTTTGTTTCGCAGAGTTTTTTACATAAAACTCAGCATCTGCGATCTTCACTCTTCTCACATATCTGCCAAAGCCCCAAGGCAAATGTCTGTAAGGATATTAAGTATTCGGCATGCCGAATATATAACTTAATTTCTCGTTTTATTTAATCTGTGTTCTAAGAATTTCAAAACTGAGTAGCCAGAATTGCGCCTAATAAAAATAAAGTATATAATTTATATTGTTTTTTAAGAGATAATTTTTTTAAATATTAATGTTGTTCAAGCATTTAAAATATTTTGCTCAGTTAAAGAGTTCTGTGTTTTAACAGCTTGAGAATTTTACATATTTTTACAAATTTCTGATTTTTTCTGATAGTTTTGTAAAGTAAAAGATCATTACCTTTTCCTTCTACTTTTACGCTCTTTCATGATTTCAGAGTAAAGCTTTACTGCTGATCTCTAGTTGCCTTGATCTCTAGTTAACTTGACAAGAGCTTTTGTTTGCCCCAAACATTAATGTTAAATGTTTTTCGAATTGATGAACATGGCCCAAGTATTACGCCCAGCTAAACAGAGGCTCATCTTGAAAGCTTTAACGGTTAACTAGCTGAGCTTTTGTGTGCCTAACCTCAATGCGGGCTTGTTTGCGCCTCTCATTAACTTCAACTTTGGCCTCAACTTTGCGAGCTTTGATCTTCTTCAATTTCGTTTCTTACATAGTATAAATAAATTCTTACACTTTGTCGTTGTTGCAGTTGTTGCAGTTGTTGTTGCTGTTGTTGTTGTTGGCACTGACACACAAACGCGCGGCGTTTTCCAAAAAAAAAAAATGTATGTCGGAATTATTTGTATAATAAACAATTTTTCTCAATCAATTGGCTAAATGATATTCAATTGAAACGCGAACGAAACACGCAATAAAAAATTGTTTTTCTTTTTCGTTCTGTTTTGTTACAAGCGCTGTTCAATTGTCGCGCGAAGATAACGGCGATTTACTCAAACAACAAGAACAAGAACGTATGAAGAAAAAAAACACACAAATATTCTTCTTGTTTTTTTTTTTTTTTTTTTTGGTGCTTGTAAAGAAAACAGAACACGCGAGAAGAAAACGGAAATTATTCAAAGTACGCCCGTTAGTTTGTTTTTGTGCGCCGCGTACGCTCTGCTTCTTGCTGCCCTGGTGCCTGCTCTTGGCCACGTCCAATTGGCTGCGTTTTGCAAACAGAACTAAAACGCGGCTTCGTTCAGCGTCGGTTTTTAAAAAGGAAAACTGCGCCCAAGCCCAAGCGTCGGCGTCAACGTCAACGTCAACGTCGGCGTCGCCGTCGCCGTTAACAATACAATAACAACGACAACAATAATTTGCAAGCCAAAGCCAGCAGCCGCCAGCAGTAAACGAAACGAAACGAAGCGAAGAGCGCGCGCGGCGAAGAGAGCGTGCGTGGCGCTCTCTTTGTTTAGCGCCTGCTGCTGGCGGCTGTTGTTTGTTGTTGTTGTTCTTGTTCTTCTTCTTCTTCTTGTTGTCGCGCTTTCTTCGCCAGACCCATCAATTAAGTCCGTTTGCAGCGGCGAAAGAACGAAAAAATACCAAAAATAGTAACAACAAAGGATTCGCCGTGCCTCCAAAATGTAACGGCGGCGATAACGTTCATCTGACGAATACGCAGGTGGGCGAAGACTCTGCTGCGACGACGGCGACGGCGACGGCGACTGTGCCGCATCCTCGCCCGTGTTAGGATCAATAACAAATGTTTAACATGCGCACAGAGATCGGCGCAAAGATAAACGCCGAACAACAGGCGACAAAATTGCACAAATCGCCGCATTAATTATCAGCCAAATTAATATTATTTTAAAATCAAGCTCAATTTGTTATATGTATACTATATATATTTGCCTGTTGGTGACTGCGTTTTGTTGGACGTTTATCAATTGCTCATAACGCACGCTACGCAAACAAATTGCAAATTTAAATGCAAATAAAAGGCGAGGGCATAGAGGAGGTGGTAGAGGAGAGGAGAGGAGAGAGGAGGGGCTGGCGAAAAGAAAACCAGTTCGGATTGTGTAAAAACCACGCAACATTGTCGTCACCTGCTCGTAGTTCCCCTCAATTGTTAAACAACAACTTTAGCTGAATCATCATCATCATCAGCATCATTAAACTCATCATCATCATCATCATCTACATCGTCGTCATCATGATCAGCATCAACAGGTCGCAACTCGAGATTTTAGGGTTTCCGCGTAGTTGAGGCTCTCGTGTTGCCACGCCCACCGCTCACAGTTAGTTCTTTGCTCGACTTTCGCAGAAGTCGTTAAAAATAACAAACGCAAAGCAAAAAAAAAAACAACAACTTAAAGTGGCCTTGTAGGCTATGCACGACTAGCAGATACCCTGCTCCCCCAACCCCCCCCCTCCCCACTCTATGAGAAAGGCGTTCCTGATTAACTTCGGTGTTTACAGTCCGATTTTTATGAAAATTTCAGTACTTAAATATGGCATTCAATAGTGTGCACACACCTTGAAAAAAAAATAGTGTTAGGAAATGTGGCAGATAACCAAACAAAAATGTTTAATCTTAGTTTGGCGTCCTTTACGCTTGCAAGATCGAGGAAAACTGTATGATTTGAAATTATATCGTTGTTTTCCAACACTAGGCGGAACTAGTTCTCCAATATTGCACTAGGAGCAGCTAGTTCTCAAATTGTTTTGGAGGTACTATTTCTCAAATGTTCTTAAGCTAGGAGGAACTAGTTCTCATTATTCTGAAGCTAGGAGGAACTAGTTATTCAATTTTCTTGGTCTAGGAGGAACTAGTTCTCCAATTTTCATGCGTCAGAAGGAGTTAGTTTTGCAATTTTCTTGCACTTGGAGGAACTAGTTCTCAAATGTTCTTGCACTAGGAGGAACTAGTTCTCAAATGTTCTTGGATGAACTAGTTCTCCAATTTTCTTAAACTCTTGCACTATGAGGAACTAGTTCACACATTTTCTTGCACTAGGAGGAACTTGTTCTCAAATGTTCTTGCACTAGGAAGAACTAGTTGTCAAACTTTCTTGGAGGAACTAGTTCTCAAATAATATATCTTATATGTGCTTGTTTTATACATTTACCCAGCAGCATTTGTAAACCTTGTTTTTTTAAAGGGTTCAGGTTACAAATATTTTATGCTAAATATTCTTCCTGGTGAACCTTTCTCATTGAGAGTTCCTCAAATAATACAGTTATCTAATAAAATATTATACATTCACAATATTTTGTTTTGTTTTTCCCACGGCCAGCAAGCGTCTCTTCTCTTATCGCTTGTGCATATAGCTACTATATATACCTAGTTCATATTCCTAGTACAAATACGTAATATATAAATATATATATATATATATATACTTATCTACACTTTTATGCATGTACTTTGATTCTGTTTGCTTTGGTTTGCTTGCTTGGCGAACTTGACATCGTTTAAGCCGCCTTGAACCCAGCGCCGAAATAGCTCAGTTGGGAGAGCGTTAGACTGAAGATCTAAAGGTCCCCGGTTCAATCCCGGGTTTCGGCAAGACTTCAAATTTTTTTTCTTTCTTTTTTTTTCATTTTTTTTATTTCTCGACACGCATAGTTCCAACGAGCGTGCGTTCACTGTAGCATAGTGGAGCTGAGAGTCGGTAGGACCCGTTCGACTGTAGCGCATGTCCTTAATAAAAATGACAATACCCGTCGCAAAGGGCATGTCCAGATCCAGTTTTCGTTCACGTTCATTTTAGTTCTTCTCTTCTTTTAAATGGGGATTTTTTTCCACTGCACTTGCACTTGCACTAGGAGGAGGGGACGGAGGGTGGTTGGGGGGGGGGGGGGGGGGGGTTAGGCCCTGCCCTGACTCACACACAGAACTCCGAAGTCCGAAGACTGAGAACTGAAGACTGAGAACTGAAGACTGAGAACTGAAGTCAGCAAAACGGGTTTCCAATGGGCGAAACGCAGATTTTTATTTTCGTTCAATTCTCCATTTTTTTTATTGTTATTTTTATTTTTATATTTTTTTATTATTTTAATTATTTTGAATTGATTTTATTATTATATTTTTTCAGGTGTTGAAACTTTTTAAAGTCTTTTTCTTGTTAAGCTAATTCTTATTAAGTTCTTATTTGACTTTTGTGCTACGTGACGTCATCAACGACGAACCGGTTTTGTCTAGGCGGGTGGTGAAGGGGTGCCAGAGGGGGGGGGGGGTCTTGGCCCGTTATGTGGGTGGTTGGGTTTTTGTGGTGGCGTCGCTTTTGTAAGTTTTGCTTGAGCGATTCTCAAGGCGATGCTCGGCCCGTTTACAGCGAGATACCTTGATGGCAAATACCCTAGAATAGGGCGTAAGGGGTTAGTTAGTTCGTTCAAGGCGTCTACAGCTAGCCCCTGTAGTTAACCGGGCTCTTGAGACTGTGTACAGCTGTTGATCAAGGCTTGAGATATAAAAATACAATCGAATCAGCCAGATCGATTAACTGGAACCAAAACACAGCTCTCATATAAAGAATCGATAGCAATCGAATCCGATAACAATCGAATCGTATAATCGATGATGGGAAAACTCGATTGCTTTAGAGAGTTCAATTCTATTTGACTTCAGATAAGTCCATATAAGTCTATATATCAAAAGGGATACATTATACATACATATATCATATCGAATCAGACTATTTAAGAGAGTTTCGGTCCTCTTTTAAAGCCTAAATTTTGTCAATATTTAACTAAGTATATCAATTGATTTTTATAGCCTGAATCTTTTATACTCCGATCCCAAAAGGGGCATATTGTATTTGTACAAAAGTTTGTAACAGGCAGAAAGAAAGCATCTCCCAGCTCGACCTAGCCATGTCCGTCTCTCTGTCCGTCCGTCCGTCCGTCCGTCCGTCCAAGGATCTCAGAATCTATAAGAGCTAGAGACTTCAAAATTTGCAACATCGATTCTCCTAGCGCCCTCTCAATACAAGTTTCTGTTCGATAATCGATAACTTTGCACCGTTGCCAAGCAATCGATAAGAATCGATATCGAAAACCCATTTGAGCAAGTCTCTTAAGTTTTTAGGCCTAGAGGTAACACACTTGCCATGCAGCTCCTGGAATAGTAAAAACAGCTAAAGTATCTTTCATCAAATGCGAACTGCATTTCGGTTTGGTAGAAGAAGGGTATCGCCTAGTCGGGCACTTCCGACTGAAGCACTTTTACTTGTTCAATTATACATATTATATAATATATATATTGATTATAAATGTTCGTCTAGACCCATCGCAGCACGAGCTTCCATTTTTAAGATCCGATCGATAAATATCGATTTTGAGATATGGTTTTTTTTGCGCATCAATTGAAATACTTTCAGAGCTAGCTACACTTTACTTGTTTCTTATAGCTTCTTCTACAGCATGTACAAGGATAAATCCCCCAACCCCCCCTAACCACCCCCCCCCCTTTACCCCAACGGGATCTACATTTGGTTAGGGTATTAAAGTTGAGCCTAGACTTTGAGTTCTCAGCCTCTCTCGCTCTCTTTCCGCCGCCCCCTACCCCCCCCCCTCTCTCTCCCTCTCTCTCCCTCCATCTATATCCTGGCTGTACAGTTTCGTTTGGAATGCAAAAAGTTTAAGCGCAATTATGAACGCATTTGCTCGCATTTGCTCAAACACCTGCATTTTCTGCATGAATCATGAATATATATATATATATATACGCGATATATAAGCACAGATATACACACAGATTGGCGGCGACATATTAAAAATATCTGTCGTTACACGCATATATTTTACGAGCTGCAAGAGCTTCCAATTGCGTTTCCTTGTCGAGGCCGAGGATCGCCCAAGAAGGCGGCTGGCTGGATGGAGGCCCTGCGACTTGGGCACCTGCAACCGGTTTCTACGAGCTGTCCACATTAACTCTCTCTCTCTCTCTCTCTCTCTCTCTCTCTCTCCCTGTCCGCGACCCCCGCCTCGGCATTGGTCCAATTAGCAGAAGGAACTTTCTGACGGGCATAATCCCCCGAACGAACGACACGCTAATAAATGACTAAAGCGTGCAAAATAACACAAAGTTGAATATAAAAAAAAAAAAACAGAAATGGGTTCACTTTAACGCTGCGCAGTTCATTAAACGGACTTTTTTTTTTTTTTTATTTAACGTAATTGAACTAGTCATATTTTGATTGGCATCAGATTTGCAGTCGAATGTACTCGAATGATTCACGAGCCGCAAGCAAATCGTCGCGTTTGGCCGCCCCTCCGCCAGGCGCCGAAATAGCTCAGTTGGGAGAGCGTTAGACTGAAGATCTAAAGGTCCCCGGTTCAATCCCGGGTTTCGGCAAATCCTTTTTTTTCGTAATTTCCTCTTTTTTTTTTTTAAATCAATTTTAAATTACTGAACTTAAGTTTCCCATTTTGATTTGCTTTTCATCATCTTCTGCAGCTGTTTTCCTTTTTTTTTTCTATATTTACTTTCTTTAGTCAACAGCTTGCAAAGCACATTCGCAAGAGCTTTTGATTAAAGCTGTGTCACAAACTAAACTTAAGCTTGACAAAGCTTTTCAGCTCAATTTGCTCTGCGCGCGTTTGTTAACACTGGAAATAAATGCAAATTATCAAAGCTTTCTGTGCATGCAAAGCTCTTGGGTTTTGTGGGAACACTTTCAATAAAACAAACTTTGCTTAATTCAATTTACGCTTTTTTTATATTTATTTGATTTTAAAAAAAAAAAGATAGAGAAAAACATTGCCTTATTTTGTTTTTTTTTTTGTCACAGAAGTCACAAAAATATGCGCAAATGCTGCAATAAATTGTTTTTTTTTTTAGTTTAGGCGCTTTTTCTAAGGCTACATTTTGTGGCATTTTGTGGTTCAGTTAATATTAAGTTTTTATGTTTTCAGTTTTATTTTTATTGCTTATCGTTTTGTGTGTACTTTAAAGTACTTAAGAGCGAGTTTTCTTCAAAAAAATAAAGAACGAACATAGACGGGCTTAACATAGCGGCGGCTCCTTTAACAGCGCGCTGTTAAGATGAGCGAGCGCGCGAGATGGCTATGCTAGGCAAACACTGTTAAACTTAAAGCGAGAGAGCGAGAGAGAGGGAGAGAGCGCAGCAAGGTGCATGTAAAACTATTAAAAGTGTATGCTTGTGTAAACTAAATGTAAATGCTAATGTAAATGTTAAGGTAAAGTTTAATTTAATTGTAATTAAATATTTTAAGTTTAAGAAATTGCTGCTGAGTATGGGCGCTTACAAAATAATTGTTTACAAAAAATTATCAATCTAATCATAATCAAAAAAAAAATATATATTAATATATATATGTAAAATGTTGTGAAATGTATGAAACGAATTGTTGTTGTTGTACTTAGAGCTATATGTATATCCATAGATCTCTCTACATAATATATATACAAATGTTAGACACAATTTGTTGTTTTTTTTTTTTGTTTTTTCTGTTTTGTCACTTACAGTAAATACTCGCTACAATATGCATGTAAATCAACAAGTTTTTAACAGCCAGTTAACATGGCTATGTAATTGGTTTTGTTTCTCTTAACATAATGGCAGCCTTTTATAGCCCTTGCAGAGGTAACAGTAAAAAAATGTTTAGAAGCGAGTTCTGGTTGAAATTAGACAAGGCTAGGATCGAGGCACTATAGCATATATGTAGCTGCCATATAGCTGGAACGAACAATCGGTTGAAATTTGACTTATTTTACAACTTTGTTGTTTGGAACAGTTTCGGACTACTTTAGCATATGGCTGAGTTAAGGGTTACTGCACTGCTGCAAGGGTATTTAATCTTCGGCGTGCCGATGCGCTAGTTCCCGCCGTTCCCCATACATTTTTTAAGCTATTTTCAGCTCAGCTAGCGCCGGATTCGCGCCGTTGTTGCTGCTGCTGCTGCCAAATTTGCTGGCAATTGCTGGCTTTAGGAGTATAAACTTGGGATTGACAGCCGCTGCTGTTGATGCTGCTGTTGGTGTTGGATTGATTGTTGATTTTTTGGCTGGCGTTATGGTCACCGTGCTGGGCGCAATGGCATTCATGGCCGCCGTCTGGTTGCTGGCCGCCAGCGAGGATGCCGGCAATATGGTGGTCACTCCGTTCTCATGTTGGATTGTGTTCGCATTGTTAAATATTGCACGCATTTTATTGCCACTACTTTGAGATCCAGTTGTTGTTGCTGCTGCTGCTCCTGCTGCTCCCCCTCCTCCTACTGCTGCTCCTCCTGCTGCTGCTCCTCCTCCTACTGCTGCTGCTGCTGCTCCGGCCGCCAGCACATTGATTTTGAGCGCCTGCGTTGGCGCCTGCTGTCGCTGGACAAAGCGCGCGGTAAACTCGTTGCCGGTCAGCACCAGATTTTGGGCCTGGCCGCTTATGGGTAGACCGCTGGCCAGGATTAAACGTTGGACGCTGCCGCCGCCGCGTGCCGCCTTCTTCTCCAGCTGCAGTTCGTCCTGCTGTTAAAGAAGAAGCAAAAACAGTTTGAGCATCATTGTTAGCAAAAGTTCAACTCATATGAATTAGAACAGGCTGGCAACAGTAGCCTGGGCGCCTGGGCATAAGAAGTAGCTGAATGCAAATGGAATATTTGAATAGCTAAAAATATATTCTATAAATATATGTAAATATAAAAATATGCATATAAATGTTTCACTCATAAATTCTCTAGTCTAGAACTTTAGCTACTTTGCATCAGCGAAAGCTGTCAAATTCTGGCAACACTGTGCGCAAAGTTAGAGTCAAGCATGTGCATCGAAGCGAGATGGCAATAAGAGCTGGCAAATATCATTAGAACGAGCTCAATGAGCAATATAAACAAAATGCACTCAGCTGGCATAGACGCTTGCATTGAAGCGAGATGGCAATGCCAGCAAATGAGTATCGATAAGCACCGATTCTGCCGCTGCTGCTGCTGCTTTAAGGCGAGTATGCTGTTTACCAGAAGTAAACAAGAAACGACAATAGTAAACATGATAAGAACTTAATTGGCACTTACCGTTGGCGGACTAACGGATTTGCGCTCCAGCACATGCTCATCAAAGCCCGAGTCCGAGGAATTGTCATTGAATTTGGTGGCCACCGAGGAGGAGGTGGAGCAATTGGAGGATGAAGATAGCGATGAGGGCGAAGCGGCGCCCACAGCGGTTGTTAAGATGCTCGCATGCAAAGCTGATGACGTCACAGATGCCGCTGCCGTTGCCAGTGTTGGTTTGAGTGCGAGCGCTAAGCTGCCATTGGCTGTGGAATGTTGTTGTTGTTGTAGAGTGTTTGTTGTTGTTGCTGCTGTTGCTGGCGTTGGGTTCGGCATGGCCTCAGTCTTATTCAATGGAACTGGACTTATTCTATGTATTTCGCCCTGTGGAAATGATTCCGATTGTCGCTTAAAATACAAATGATGCTTTTTTAACGCCGGCGTGCTGATGCTCTGACTGATTGCCTTTGGCTCCAGCTCCGCCGCCTGCACCGGCTGAACCAATTCCCTCGGCGGCTGCGGCTGCGACTGCTGTTGTTGTTGCCTGCGTCTGCGGTGCTTTTCGCATGGCTTGTACAGCTCCGGATCAATTATATAACAAGCGCTGCCCAGACTGAGACTCTGGAATACGGTGCCGCAGCACACGTCCAGACGCAGCAGATCGTGCTCCTCAAAGAACGGCACATTGTCGACGGCGCGACGATGCTTTTTTGGCTCCAGCATGCGCCTTCGCTTGCTGCCAGTCAAACGCAGACGTTGTGCAACACTCTTTTTCAGCACTGTCGCTGTGGCCAGCTGCGCAGCTGCAGCGGTCCGTTTGCGCGTCTGATACGGTGTTGCGGCAACACATGCGATCAGCTGATGCGGTTGTTGTTGTTGTGGTTGTTGTTGTTGTTGATGTTGCAGCTGCTGCTCCTGTTCGTCGTGGCTTTCATTGGAATCGCTCGGCTGCTCCTCGGAGTGTGGTGAACTTTCGTGGCTGCTGCCATTGCGCTGCTGCAGTTGCTGCTGACTGGCTACAGATGGCGCTACAGATGCGGCAGCCGTTATCTTGCCCTTGCGATTCTTTTTGAAAATCTTGGCAAACTTTTCGGGTATAAAAGAGCCGCCCCCGCCCGTCTTGCCATCACATTCGTTCTCGCGCTTCTTCTGCTTGGCCAGCGATTTGGTGCCGGGTCCGGCGCGTGCATCAACCACCTGTTCGAAAAAAAAAAGAAGAGAGAAATGAGATTATTTTCTGTGGCATTGAGGTTTCTTCTTGCTGCACTCACATGTCCCCAATGGCGCTTGCTGCCGACGGGCAGCCGCTTGTAGCGCTTGACCAGCAGGACGCAGGCATTGCAGATTTCACCGTTGCGCGGCTCGTGCAGATTGAAGCACTGCATCGACTCCTTCTCGTATTTGCGCGAGGCTGTAAAGCGGGAGCTGCTCGATTTGGCGCGGCAAATGCAGCAGCCGTCCGCTGAGCGATAGACGCGTGGCTTATGGAAATTGAACATGGCGGCGGTAGATGTTGTATTTTGTTTGTTGTAAATAGATATGTGTAACGGATTTGCCACAAGCTAAACAATTCTTTTAGTCTTTTAAGTTTTTTAAAGTTTTTTTTTTTACAGTTTAAAGAGTTCTTTTTACTCAAATAACTAAAGTTTGTGCGTTGTTGTTGTTGTTGTTGTTGTTATTTTTCACTGGTTTTAATTTGATTAATTGCTATTTGTGCACAGCCCTTATTGTTATTATGCTGAGCTCGGGCATCATCCATCGTCTGCGTTGCGATATTTTGCGCTGCATTTGTAAAGCTTGGTTGCTGCAAAAATACATACAAGAAAATAAATATTATAAGTAAATCATTTCAAATTAGAAACGGCCAAAGCGGAAAAACAGCTGAGCTTGACAGTGTTGTGAGGCGTGTCGAGTCTATTGCCCAAGTGGCAACGCTGCGAAACTGTTACTCGCTGATTTCGTTGCTTAAAGAAACATGTACATACATTGCACATTAAGTGCACATATGGCATGTTAATAAATTATTAATATTTAAAGATGAAAATACGTGCGCATAATAAAAAGATTGCCCTTACAGTTAAATTTAAAAAATGTATTAACACGTAACAGCTGGCAACAGTAGCACATCGTGTTGCCGTACTTGTGTTTTTCCCCACAATCAAAAATATTCAAAAGAAAGAAATATGACTTAAAGCAACTTTTGTCTCTTATCAACATTTAGCAGGTGGTAAGTTTATGCATATGTATATAATGCTAATTAAATGCTAAATTTTGTACAGGCAAACGCAAGCCACAAAAGCAGCTGACTGAATACATACATACATTACATGTATATAGCAAAGCCACAACACACACATACACACACACAGATTCTACGCATGCTTGTGCATGTATACGTGCACTTTGGGGACGCGTAAACAAAGCGTCGCGCAAAAAGAAATACGCACATCCATGCACACACACAACATATATACATGCATACACATTGCATTGGCGCGCGCGCTCGTTGCACTCTCGTGAAAACAACAACACACGATATTCACCCCAGAGCTAGTGACGTGACTTTCGAGCAGCGCTGCCCACTTTGCTCCCAGGTGCGCGTTGTCATTGTGCATAAGTGTAAGTGTGTATGTGTTTAAATGCTTTTTATTTTATTTTTGGGGACACTCTGATTTTTGAACATTGGCGTTCAAGTTGAAAGTGCGTACGTACATACACACATGCATATGTACATGCTTGTATGTATGCACCGGCGTGTGAGCTACACATACACACACTTTATATACATCTACGCATCTTTGTGTGCGTGTGAGTGATCGTCTTTGAGGCTATTGATATTGGGACATTACGTGTTGGTAAACGTTACAAATTTAAACGTTTAAAATTTAGCTCAATTGTCGTGTGTGGAGGAGTTTGGAGCCTGCGAGAGAGGGCAAAGAGAGGGGGGAGGGGGACACTTGACCACCTTCTCTTCTAGTTGCTCAGTTACTTAGTACGTGTGTGTGTGTGTGTCGGTGTGCGTAAGAGTTGGTTTGGTGAAAATGCGCCTACTGCGTAAACAGGTTTACACTGTATTTTTTCTCTTAGATATTTTTCATTTAGTGCCGGACGCCGACTAGATTATTATTGTTGTTGTTGTTGTTGCTGCTGCTGCAGCTGCCCACGCCACGCGCGCACAACACGAACACACTCACACACAGACATTCATATGTTTGACAAAAATCATGTTTTGATCTTGGCAAATTTTCTATTTAGTCGCGTTTAGTAGCCATATTTAGGCATAAATTGAAATGTACAGCAATTTACCTGCGCCGTAACAAGTCGAGATTACTTAAAATTCACTGGATATGCGTATTTTATTTATTTATTTACTTATTTCACAAATCACTTTAATCATTTATTTTCAGTAAATATTGAAATTATTTTCCAAATTGCATGCAAAGCGCAAATTTCATTTACAGCGAAATAACGAAACGCGTCTGCACGCAAGAAACACAAAGGCAAACTGACAAACCGAAAATACAAAAAAAATAAAATAAAATAAACCGCTGCGCTGCGCTGCGTTGATGTTGCTGCTGCCGACGCCGACGACGCCGCTTTTCAGCCGTCACTTTTTCGTACACATTCGACGCTGTGTGTGTGCGTATCTGTGCGCGTGAGTGCCTGTGTATGCGTATGTGTGTGTGAGTGCGACTGCAGCGCAAAATGTACGAAACCCAAACAGCGTCGAGAATATGTAGCACAAAGCAAATGCAGTGATAACACAACAGTAACAACGTAAAGCGGCGGCAGTAGCAGCTGAGCGCAAACCAAACGCTCTTGTGTACGTGAGAATGCGCGCAGCAAAAGCAACAGCGAAAAAATTCCGGTTGTGAAAAAAAAGAAACACACACACACATAAACGGCAGATATTGAAATACAGTGTGAGCGAGTGAGAGAAACAATTTGCATAACAAGACGGCGTTGCCACACTGCACAGAACAAAAGGAGGCAAACGTTTAAAAAAAAAAATATGTATGTATGTACATATGTACATATGCTTTGTGTTGTTTCATTTGTGTTGCTCGCCTGCAGTTGTTGCATACAGTTTGTTATTGTTTGCGTGGCATAAAACGCAAATAACAGAAATGGCAGCAACAACAATAACTGATAAAACGGCAAAACGTGTGCGAGCAGAAACTGATAAGCGACGCTGTTTGGTTGTTGTGGTAGTTGCGGTTCTTCTTGCTACATATGTATGTATGCATGTATGTAAATACATGCATATGTTTAAGGCGCAATTCAAAATAAGCGTCACAGTCTCTCTCTCGCACACGCATACTCAGAAGCTTCTATGCTTGTTTGTATATATTTATAGACTACCCCACCCCCGGACAACAATATCGGTGTTAGAGCAAAAGTGTAATACGTGACAAACGAGATGTAAGCACAGTTGCCACATGTAGTACAAATGCACCAAAACCGGTACTTTATTTTTCCAATGGTGCATCTTTCTTTTACAAATTGTTACTTTTAATGGCTGGCGTTTTTGTTGGAAAAAATGTAGACATACATTTATGATACCTATTCAAAGTACAATTTTGATAAAACACTGAATATCAGCTGTGTAAAACTACTCGTCCCTATTGGAAAACATTGCGCATATTTAGTGGCAACGCCGCCAGCTGTTTACACGCTTTTCAACACTGCCACCCACTACAGTGCAACAAATTGTTGTTGTTCTTGTTTTGCCCAGGCGAAAGTGTCCGCAAACGCATGGAAAAAATGTGCGTATTTCCTTCGTGTGCGCTACGTGCCAGTGGCAACGCTAGCAACAACAACAAACAAAAAAAAAAAACGCCTCCAAAAAGGCCTAAATTTAGGTCAAATGCACTCGTTATTGGTGGCTGCGGCGCAGCCAGATTTTGTTTCTTGTTTACGATGTTAAAGACACCGCGCAGCAAGTGGCAGTGGCGCAAAACTCATATAAATGCAAATTAAAACGCATGAAAAAAAAGCAAATATGCAAGCAGTGGCATTTGGCAAAATTTAGCACATTTTTATGTAAGACAACGGCAATGCGCTTGTGTGCGTGTGTTTGCTTTAGCTGCCTCTTTTTACACCAATCAAATTTCATTGCAAAACAAAACAAAAACTGTACTTGTGGTAATTGATTGCGAATGAGGAAGTGGGGGTGAGGAAGGGTTGTGGGGTAAATATGAGCAAATGCCGCAAAGAATTGGGTGGGCGAGTGCGAAAATCGTTTTATTATAAATAGAGATATGCGTCAAAGATGTTTGTTTATTGTGACACACACATATACATATGTACATACATATGTATACTGCGCATAATTAACGCTGACCTTGTTTTTGCTGCGGCACGCATGAAAAAATCAACTTTCCTACGCACACAAACACACATACACACACATGTTGCGTCTGACCGAAAGTGAAAGACAAGCCTGTCTTATTGGAATTCTCATAAGAATGTGAAAACAGCAATAACAATAACAAAAACAGCAATACAAGGAGTGCGGCAGAGAGCAATGCGTGAAACAGGTTGCCGCTAAGCTTTTCGACAGCACCAACAACAAAAGCGGCGAGCGATATTCGAAATAACGGTATTACAAGCTCACATTCAGTGTTAAATGAATGCCAGCGTAATACCCAACAACAAAAAGCACAACTTAAATAGAAAGTAAAAAATCTTAAAAAAAAAAATGCAACTTTGGGCATTTTGATTTCGGCTTGAATAACTGTTTCTTGACAAACATACACCAAAACACACACTTTTACGCCTTGCGTAGCCTGCGAAAGAGCAGAGCGCACCAAAAATGGAAGTAGGTTGCGCGCTCTCTCGCTCACCTGTATGATGTGTACGCTGTGCTCATTTTGGCACAGTGAGCGAGCGGGCGAGCAACAGCGGCCAGCTTGCTTTATCGCATTGCCTGTTAAGTAATAGACTGAATTCTGTGCATGTATGAATGCATAAAGTGTGTGTAAGCGGCAACCACCATATGTCCCTTTGTGTGTGTGTGTGTGTGTGCCTGCAGAGAAAGCGCGCGCAAACAGATTCACTAATTAAAAAAAAACCAAGTATAACATGAAATGACAGCGGTAGTTAGTGTTTAAATTTTGCGCCGCTTTGCCTTTTGAATTGTACTTGCACACACACACACACACACGCATATATGCCGATGTATTTCCGCACATTTGTGGCTGGTTGTGAACGAGGTTAAGTTGCCGCTGCGCTGCCATTGAAAGAGTTCATTGTTGGTTTGCGGCCGCCGATTCGTTTGATTAGCAAAGCGAAGGTCAACAACAAATCGGTAACAACTTTATCTACGCATTTGGAACAGATACACACGCACACACACACACACACACACATGCATACGTGCGTTTGCATGGAAATGTATGTATGTTCTATCTGTGCGCTTTGTGCTTAACCTTCGCTTTTATGCATTTTCATTCGCTTTATTTTGAATGTTTGGGCTGCACACGTACCACACAACACACACACACACACACATACAAACATACGCAAACAGGCATGCAGACACTTATCTATATATGTACATAAATTGCTCATTGTGTTCTGCTTCTTACCCTTTTGATCGTTTTGCACTTATATTGACAGCTACTATGGCTGCCAAAAATTTGTTGAATTCCTTAAGTCGTTCTTTGATTAGTTTAAGCACTGCACTCATTCAATTTGCACTTGTTAATTGATATCTTGGTTAAGCACAACACCGCTGTCTTGGATACCGCAAAATTTCACACAATGAGTCTATCGATTGCCAGACAGCCGATATCGATAACGAGTACATTTGGCGGCAAATACTCAGTGCTAATTATTGCAAGATCAGCGCGCATGCGTATTTGCTTAGAGATGACAACAACACATTGTCATAGGACTAGTGTTGGGCGTGAGTTTGCCAATAAACAGATCTCATTAACAATAGAAATTTGAGCTTTAAACACATTAATCTATAAAAATGTACATTAAAATTGGCATTTGAAACTATTTGATTGAGAGTGACATTTATAGCTAGTAAAATAAAGTTGTTATAAAAACTATATCGATATCAGTTTGATTTGTCATAAATTATTTTGCATATATATCGATACTCTTGTAGCTCATGGATTGGCCTAGCGCATGAATCAATCTACTCGATACATGTCGTTATGTTATTTACATCCCTATTTGCCGGCAAATATAATACCGAGCGGCAATTGGAACCGCGGTTATTTACAAACAACTGACAGCAGCCGCATTAATGAGGCTCGTGAAGCCGGGTTGGGTGCACCATGATGGTAAGCCGCAGCCGCCCAGCAGCCAGTTTGTGTGTTAATCCGGAAATTTGATTTGTTTACACAGAAAAACCCATCTTCTCGGTGGACGTGCACCAGGATTGTACAAAATTCGCAACTGGCGGTCAGGGCAACGATTCCGGGCGTGTTGTCATTTGGAATCTCAAGCCGGTGCTCTCCGAGAAGGATGAGAACGATGCATCGGTGCCCCGGATGCTCTGCCAAATGGATCAGCATTTGGCGTGCGTGAACTGTGTGCGCTGGTCGCAGAATGGACAGCTGCTGGCCTCCGGCTCGGATGACAAACTGATCATGATATGGCGGAAGGCACAGGGACCCAGCGGCGTCTTTGGCACCGGCGGCATGCAACAGAATCACGAGTCGTGGAAATGTATACACACGCTGCGCGGCCATGATGGCGATGTTTTGGATCTGGCCTGGTCGCCCAATGATCTCTTCCTGGCCAGCTGCAGCATAGACAACACCATCATTGTGTGGGATGCACGTGCGCTGCCCAACATGCTGCAGACCCTGAAGGGACACACGGGCCTGGTGAAGGGCGTTGCCTGGGATCCGGTGGGCAAATTCTTGGCCTCCCAATCGGATGATCGCAGCATCAAGATTTGGCGCACCATGGACTGGTCGTGCGGCACAACGATAACGGAACCGTTTCAGGAATGCGGCGGCACCACGCACATATTGCGCCTCTCCTGGTCACCCGATGGCCAATATCTGGTCTCGGCGCACGCCATGAACGGCGGCGGGCCCACCGCCCAGATTGTTGAGCGCGAGGGCTGGAAGTGTGACAAGGATTTCGTTGGGCATCGCAAAGCGGTTACCTGCGTGCGCTTCCACAACTCCATACTGACGCGCCACATGGCCGGCGACAGTCCCAGCAAACCGATGCAGTACTGTGTGCTGGCCGTGGGCTCACGGGATCGCTCGCTATCGGTGTGGATGACGGCGCTGCAGCGTCCCATGATTGTCATACACGAGCTGTTCAATGACAGCGTCCTGGACATGTCCTGGGGCCCGCAGCAATGCCTGCTGATGGCCTGCAGCGGCGATGGCACCATCGCCTGCCTGCAGTTCAACGAGGAGGAGCTCGGCTCGCGCGTCTCCGAGCTGGAAAAGAAGGCGATTTTCAAGCGCAAATACGGCGGCTGCTTCGAGGACAATCTGGCCGTCAAACAGCAGCAGCAGCAGGCGCGCTGCCTGCCCGAACCCTCCAGCCATGCGCTGCCCAATGCGGCCATGGAACGCCGCCTGCCCGTCCAGCAGTCGCAGGCGGGCGCCGCTTCGCCGGCTCGCGCCATCAGCAAACAGACAGAGACGCGCACCAAGGACGGCAAGCGACGGATTACGCCCATGTTCATACCGCTCAACGAGATGTCCGAGCCCAGCTCCGGCATTGCCAGCACCAGCATCGCCAGCAGCGTCAACAGCAACTCCGTCAATCACAACAACAGGTGGGTTGTGCTTAAATATTTAGTTAACTCATTATCTGCAGGTGGTTGGAGAGGAAGGCATAAATGACTAAAAGCGACTTGAAGAGCTTGAAGGCAGAATGAAGAAGGCATCTCTTAAGAACTTGACTTGGAGCAAGTGCATCCCAATTAGGCAGACGCTTCCTATGATCTAGTTGGGGTCTGAACCTGACAGAAACCCTCAGTAGAGCCTTGGATTAGCTCAAGTTCTTTGCTTAGACCAGCTGCATTGGTCAATCAAAGGATTATTTCCTGCAAGGACTTCAAAAATATCGCCAGACCAGGAATCGCGATGACGGGGAGCAGCTGGAGCGGCACAACTGGCTACAGTTGATGCCTCCTCGCATCGACAGGGCCATGCCAGCTGACAGAGATTAGTCGGTTCGATTGAGTATCCTAGTTTGCTGCAACTCAAACATGTTGCCTGGCTCGGGCAGCTCGAACTCGAACATGTTGCCTGGCTCGAGCAGGTCGACTTACGTTTGCATTGCTCGATTGAGTATCCGAGTTTGCTGCAACTCGAACATGTTGCCTGGCTCGAAGCAGGTCGAACTCGAACATGTTGTTGTTTAGTTTCGATTGAGGATCCGAGTTCGAAGCGAGTGATTTCACCGCTGCAGGGCGACTTTCGCTACTTTCCCAGTTACTTACTCCATTCAAGCACTTGACCACTTTGACTCACACATTTTCTACCCCCCACAGCAGCAGCAGCAGCAACAACAACAACAGCAACAGCAACCACATCGGGAGCACAATAGGAACGACAGCAGCAGCAGCAGCAACAACAACAACAACAGATGCACATCCGATTGGGGGCGTGGAGCCACTCATGCCGGAGCCGCTATTCTCGCGTGCGGATCAAGTGGGTCGATTGATGCTGCCGCCGGCGCCGGCGGCAACGGCTGCGATAGCGCCGCGTCGCAGCTCGATGCAGTTGCTCTGCGATCTGAACAGCAGCAATACGCTCGGTCCCAAGCTGCAAATAACGGCGAATAGTAAATGTGAATTTACGAAATCCTCACAAGACTATCGCATCCACGTCCAGAACGGGCATCTGAAGACGGGCTACGGCATGGTCGCCAAGGTGACCGCCCAGCTGAGCCGGGAACAGCTGTGGGAAATGTATGTCGGCTCGCCGGTGATCAATGTGAATCTGTGCAGCAAATATGTGATGCTCTGCTCCCTTGACGGCAGCATGCGTCTGCTGGCCATGCAGACGGGCTGTCCGATCTTTCCGGCCATTTCGCTGAATAGCGCCGCGGTGCACTGCGCCTTCAGTCCGGACAATCAGCTGGTGGGCGTGCTGACCGAATGCGGCCTGCTGCGGATTTGGCACATAACCAAGCGACGCATCCGGCTGGCTACGAATTGCCTGGAGCTGCTCAACAAGCACGGCATGGCCCTGCAGTTTGCCATTACGGATCAGGGCATGCCGCTAATTGGATTTCCCAGCGGCAATTCATATTCGTATTCAACGAACCTGAAGTCCTGGCTGGTTTTGGCCACCGGCGATGCCATCATGTTCAATGGCATTCGCGGCTCGCTGCCGCGCGATCTCGAGCATGTGAATCGCAAATTCCCGCTGCTCAGCATGCAGGCCAGCACACAGAACTACCTCAGTCTGCGCGGCGCCGTCGAGATGTGAGTGACAATTTTCTAATTCCAATTTGTGCTCCAACTAATCTAGCTACGTCCCGTCTTCTTCATTTGGCTTTAGCGATCCGGAGAGCTGGCAGCAGACGGCCAAGGTGCTCTTCCTGGAGAATCAAATAAAACTGTGCGAGGCTCTCGAGGCATTCGAGGAACTGAAGCATTGGCATGTCATGCTCACCTTCCAACTGGCCACCTACGGCACCGAGAAGCGTTTGCGTCTGTTCCTCGACGGACTCCTCAACAATACGGAGCAGGAGGCAACGCAGGTGAATATATATATATATATATATATAAATGCATGTCAATTGCAACTGCTTCCATTTGACATGATCCCGTCTGTGCCGCAGTCGGCGCCCAAGCACGAGCTGATGCAGTGCGTCCTAGAGTCGCTGAAGCCGCACACGCAATGGGAGCACATCTACAACGAATATCTCGAGCTCTATCAGCTGAACGAGGAGAACTTTGTTGCGGACGCGCCGCCGCCGCAATCCTCATCGGCAATCACCTATCCGCTGCCATCGTCGCCCTGCCCACGCACCCGAGCAGCTGCCGCCGCGGCGGCTGCCATCGAGGCGCTGCTCACAGCGGAGCCATCCTCTCCACCGCCGCCGCCGTCGCCGCCGTCACCGCCGCCGCCACCGCCACCGCCTCCACCGCCACCGCCACCGGCTACGAGCCGCAAAAGCGCCGAGCCGGATGCCTGCGAAACGGAATCCTCATCATGCTCCCAGCCGGCGTCCACCACAACGCCCGAGCCAGCGGCGGCCGTCGACAACGAAACGGACAAGAACTGAGCGTTAGTCCCTGCCCATTCAACCCATTCAACTATCATTATTGTCTCCCGCTGATATTCCACACAGATACTGTCAACTAGTTGTAAGCGTTCCTTGCGAAAGTTTTAAATATATACCAATGTCATAGTCTCTATTTAAGCTGAAAAAAAAAACCCAATTCGCTCAGCCGAGAGGCAGATAATTCATTCAGGCAGATAACTGCCCGAATCAATTAATTTATATATATTCCTAGAGCCAAGTCCTTTTGTCTGTCTGTCTGTCTGTCTGTCTGTCAGCATGTCAACTCAGTTGTCTCTCAGTTGTTTTCCACAATATCATGACTGAACAATAGATTGTTCAGTATGTAAAACCTTGCTGGGCTTAAGCTCTCAAAGGGGTATTATGATTTTCGTATGTTATGTATTTGTCTTTCTTCAGGATTGCCCGGATCGAAGCACTATATCATATAGCTTTTGTTTACCTACAATAACTTACTAAGTTTATATTATATTATACTATTGTATTTATTATTTTGCCATGAAATGTTGCGTCTTTGGAATTGGCCGGATCGAATCACTATATATCTTTATATCTATATAGGAAGCATTAGTTGAAGAATAGGTTATTGTATGTAAAACCTTTCTGGTTTTATAGCCTTAAAGTGCTTTTATAATATTGCCCACGAAATGTGTCCGTCTTTCTTCAGGATTGCCCGGATCGAAGCACTATATCATATAGCTCTCATATGAATAATCACATTTAGTTGTTCAAGCAAACTTTTTACTTAAACCAAAACTTATCCAAATCGCAACACTTGAACATCTAGTTCTATAGGATTAGGCGAAGAATAAGTTTTAGCTTGGAGAACTTTTTTTTTTTTTAGGTTTTTCAAGCCATAACCATTGTGTATAAGGGTATTTAATCTTTTCGTATACCCTGTACCCATTACAAATGGGTAAAAAGGGTATAATGTATTTGTGCAAATTTATGTAACAGGCAGAAGGAAGCATCTCTGAGCCCATAAAGTATATATATTCTCGATCTAGCCATGACCGTCTGTCTGTCCGTCCGTCCGTCCGTCCGTATGAACGCAAGGATCTCGTAACCTATAAGAGCTAGAGACTTGAAATTTTGGCTGTAGGTCCTCCTAGTGCCCGCGCAGATCGAGTTTGGTTCCGATATTCGATAACTTGCCCCGTTTCCAAGTAATCGATAAAAATCGATATCGAAATCCTGTTTTTTGAGCAATTTCGGCCAATAATATGAGCTAGAGTCACCAAACTTGACATGTAGCTTCTGGAATAGTATATATATATCAAGTATCTTTCATTTTATAGCTATCGCCCGTTGGAAGAAAAGGGTTCAGGGTATTCCCTAGTCGGGAGCGCCCGACTAGAACCTCTTGTTTTCCTTTATATTTGATCTTGGTAATAGTTTGCTTGCTGGAAAACCCAAAATGGCTATGCTTCACTTTGTTAACGTTTTGTATTAGCCAATATCTAATTTCAGCACTGGAATACTTTTATTTCAGCCTTAAGATATAAATGGGACGCGATATAGTCTCCGCAAATGGGACAATCTTCGCTAGAAGATCTCTTCAAAAAGTTTTTGATGCCTTTTCGCAAGACATTTTGGCATATTGATTGAGATTGGGAAAATCTGATTATTCACTTAATACAGGCTCAAACTTTGACTTCGTCTTTTTTTTACATTCCTCAAATTACCCAGCTTTGCGCGGTCAGTGTATATTTGTTATCGAACCAATTCGTTGAATCACATTAATTACTTTTGTAGAGCTTTTCAGTCGAACTTCAAGTTTACAAAAAAGATTTGGCATTTTTGCTTTATAGAAGAATTTATCAAAAATTTGACCCAAACAAATGTTCACATAGATTTTGGATCCAATAAGAGCAAAAAATTAAAACAATTTTTCAAAAAATTTTCGAATTTACCTTCAGAATTTTCCAAAAATTGCGTCTATTTAAAGCACAAATGACAGCTACTAAAAAAGAAAAGGAAGCTCTGCCCGTCAATCATCAATCAGTCAATCAATCGTGAGGAGAAACACTTTTTTTTTTTATAGATAGATAGACACAAAGATTTAATATTATTAAGATAATAGACACTTAAAAAAAATACAATTGTATTGAAGTAAGAATACAAATGCATTTAAAATGTAGTTGGACAATATTCCAGGGTATTGTGTAGTGTGTAAGCCTCGAGCTTTTTGCAAATTTTTTATTTGAAAGTAGCTCTTTGTTGAGGTTATGTTTGAGTATCTTATATATATGGACACTTAGGTATTAAAATTTGAGCTCAATTACATAAAATGTGACTTTTAAGTCAGATTCAGATTAGACACGATTCGAATCTGTCGAGCGCCTTTTAGTTGAGCTTAAGGTTTACTTTAGTTGAGGTTATGTTATAGCTTATCTCATAGTTGAGCTTGAGTTCTTCAAATAGGAATACTTTTTGAACTATATAATAGACTGTGCAAAAATCTGTAGATTTTTCTTCATTTTCATTATGCGGAAATTGTCGTTGTAAAATGGAATTATTATTTTTGTAATCTCGTTTTTTTTTTGTTTTTTTATCACTTGAGCAACTCGCTTTTGGACTAGAAAAATTCGTCTTAAAATACTATTCTAAAATCGGACCTTGAGATAGATAAAACAAAAAATAAAATTGAATTTTTCTTTGGTTTTAAAAACGTACGAATATCACGCGCGTAGCCCCTGAAAAATGTCGGCTTATAGTTCGATATATAATTGTATATATAGACATTGAGTTGATTAATTATATAGATATGCGTATGTTGTATATAGACATACAGTTGATTATATATATATGTATATATATAGACATCGATAGGTTCCATAGTTGGATATACATATATATATACTATATATAGACATTGGTAGTTTCTGCATAGACATATAGTTGATTAAATATCTAGACATGGGTTGGTTCTATATAGACACATAGTTGGTTATATTCAGATATTTATATGCTGGCTATATATGTCTACTCATATAGTTGATTATATATCTAGACATGGGTTGGTTCTATATAGACACATAGTTGGTTATATTCAGATATTTATATGCTGGCTATATATGTCTACTCATATAGTTGATTAAATATCTAGACATAGGTTGGTTCTATATAGACACATAGTTGGTTATATCTAGACATTGATAGACTTTATATCTGAATACATGTAACCTTTTTGGTACATTCTTATTTGGACACAAATTGTTGATTATCTATAGACATAGATAAGCTCTATTACTGGATGTATATATGCCTAATTAATATGCTCTACGCTCTAAGACAAAGTTTATGTTTAGACATATAGACATATTGTTGATTATCTATAGACATCGATAAGCTCTATTACTGGATGTATATATGCCTAATTAATATGCTCTACAGAGATATATATAGTTTATAATTAGACAAATTGTTGATTATCTATAGACATCAAGTTTCTATTACTGGATGTATATGCTTATTATGGTTCTACATAGACATAGGTAGAATCTATTTAGACAAATTGTTGATTATCTATAGACATTTATACGCCTAATTGCTGGATGTATATATGCCTAATTGATAGGCTCTACATTGTCATATATAGTTTAGATTAAGACATTTAGACAACTTGTTGATTATCTATAGACAATAAGTTTCTATTGCTGGATGTATATATGCCCAATTGGTAGGCTCTACGTAGACATATAGTTGGTTATATATATATATCGACTCTACATAGACACATAGTTGGTTATATATGTATATATATCGACTCTGTATAGACAAATTATGGACTATCTTCAGACATCGATAGGCTCTTTGACTGGATATTTATGTCTTGATACACACATATTTGGTTAATATATCGACATTGGTGGGCTTTAGATAGACATAGATTAACTTTTATATGTAGACATTGGTAGGCTCTATATAGAGACATATAAATATATCATATAAATATAAATATGGATAAGAAGTCTAGCTATTTACAAAGCTTAATATGTGCTTAAGATACGCGCGTATAAAAAAAAGCTTACATATAGATACTAATGCGAGCAATATACTGTAGTTAATTCTGGTGTTTATCCAAGAGGTGCAGCTGTTGCGTTATCAGCCGCTGCCGCTGCCTCGGCCTCGGGCTATTGGGGGCTATAGTGTGGACCTGGCGCGGGCACGCCCTTTATGGTTGCTTCAAAGTCCGCCGCCGGCTGTGGCAGCGGCTGTGGTGGCGGCGGCGGCGGCGGCGGAGTCGCTGTCACCGTAGCCGTAGCCGTAGCTGTCGTTGCCGTCGTTGCAGCCTCAACAACGGGCGTCTCTGGTGTCGGCTGCGATGGTGGTGGCGGTGGTGGTGGTGGCGGTGGCAGCAGCGGCGGCGGCGGGCCTGCGCCAATGCGCTCCTGGAGCGTCTCGTAGAGCTTGTGAATGTGCTCATTGTGCGCCGTTGTTGGCTGCATGGCCTTCATCAGCGTGCCGAGGCGGCCGGCGGGCAGCCTGTTGTGGACATACCAGAGCAGCTTCAGCATGTGCCGCGAGGTGACATTCTCGCGTTGCAGTCCGGCGAAAATGAACTCATCGAAGAGCGTGGTGCAAAAGTCTTCGGTGGCAAACTCATCGGTCATCGGTATCAGCAGGGCGATCAGCGAGTGCAAGAAGGGATCCTCGTAGGCGCGATCGTCCTTGCAAACGGAGAGTATGCCCAAAGCGCGCAGCACGCCGACGCGATCCTTGGCGCGGGCCGTATGCAGCGTATAGTACATGGTCAAAATGCTGGCCACCGCGCTCTCCTGTATGTAGGCCTCGACGGCATCTGGGGCCGGCCCTGAATGCTCGATGGTGGTCAGCGCCGATTCGCGCTCATCGGGCGGCAGCTTGGCGTGCAGGCTGCGGCACTGATCGTCCACCATGAGCGACATGAGGGCTGGCAGAAATTTTGTGACCACCTGGCCATCCAGCTTGGGCTCCTTGAAGTCCTGCGAATCGATCATCACCCAGGCGCTCAAGCCCAGCGCCAGCATGCGCAGCAACAATATCAATATCTGATTATCCCTGGCCATGCCCTCGTTGTTGATCAGATACTGCAGTATCTTGATGGCCGAGCTGGCCAAAAAGTTGATGGCGTACGGATCGCACAGCGTCATGGAGAGATCGCCGAGCACCTGCTCCTGGCCACGCTTGATATTGTCCAGAAATCCTTGAAGTTCACGCGAACGCTTTATATCCACGTTCTTCTCCCGAATGCAGGCATCCAGGCACCAGGTGAACTTGTGGCACGGATCTATCGATATGATCTCCTGCACCTCCAGATCATGGAGGGCCATCAGCAGCTCGGCGCGCAGCGTGCAATAGTGGACGTTGCGTGTGCGCAAGAAAAGTGTGCGCAAAAACTGCAAGACCATGTCGTAGAGCTTGACGCTGGTGCCAATCATATTGGCCAGCTTCTGGACAACCTCGCCCTGCCGACGCACCTTTGGCGTGGGCTGAAAGAACAAATTGTTGAGATTCGTGTGATCGAACAGGATATGCTCCTTCTCCCGTATATATTGCGATAGCAGCGGTGAGACCTCATCGCCAAACAGCGATTGGTTGTCGCGCCAGATCTGGCGCTTCACCTCCGTGTCCGTGTCCGCATAGAGTTCGCGATCGCGGACCAGAATCCGCAGATATTTGTCATCAATGTGCTGGGTGTTCCGCAATATAGCCATGACGACGGGACGCAATGACTTGACGCGCACAACCGGAAAGCTCTTGACCAGCAGCTCCTTTAGCTTCTTTTCGCGTTCGCGCGGCTCCTTCTGGCCGAGCTCGTTGATGTGCGCGATTAGCTTGTCGCGCAGCTCCTCCATAAGGGATGTATGAAAATCCAGACGGCGGACGCCATGCAAATCCAACAGCGGCAGCATGGGACGCAGCGAGGGCAGCAGCACGCCATTCTCCAACTGGACACATGGTTAAACATATATGTTTCTTACAATTAGCAAAAAAAAAAAGAAAAAGAAAACAGGAAAACCAAAGGAAAAAAAAGGGGACAAAAAAAAAGGGGAAAAAAAACACCCACACAAATTTCGCGCTTAAACATACCTGAAAACTTTCGATGGCTTTAAGCGGATCTGTGCAGGAGGTTAGTGCCTCACGCAGAAACGCTTGACCAGGTATGTTGACATCCTCTAAGCCGGTGCCATTTTTTGTGGGCGTACTCATTTTCAGTCAACAATTATGGATTTTTTCGTGGTCTCCAACACGAAAATTTTTGCCTGTCGCGAAGGCCAATCAATGCACAAGTATCGTTTAATTAGAGATCACAAAGCAAACGAGCACACCGATATATCGATGTCTGTTACCCGATGTCCGCTTGGCGTTTGCCCACAACTATCGATAATTCTTAAATGCTAGCTTACATCCGTTTGTATACATTTCTGTGACTGGTTAGCATTATTATTAATTATGATTTCTATGTTTTGCATTTATGTAGTTTAATTAAAAACATAATAATTAATATTCGCGCCTTTACATATTTGATGCGCAATTTCTGGCTGCATCGATATTTTTCTATTACGATATATCGCTGCATGGGTGCCTTTGGCCGATGTTAAACATCGGTGCTAATTTCCAGACTAACATAACTATCGTTGATAGTGCTCCTCACGAAACGATAGCATTGAGTGCATTAATTGGTGTTCGTGCCTATCGCTGGTAAAATTCCACTGCAGCCATCTGGCAACGTCACGCAGCTTCTGTGGTGCCCAGCATACACAAACACAGTACGGCAACGCTAGTAGCCCAAAAATTTCTATCTAAATTGTTTTTCCTGCGTAATTGAACATGGCCAATTCGTGGCTACCAAAAGCGCTGTGTGGCAAACGTGTGTGCATTAAATGAAATTTTGTGTGCATTTTTGGCTGGCCTGAGCACACGCAAACTTATTGCATGCCAGACCATTTTAACAAACTTGGAACAGCGAAAACTGACACCAAACTGCGGCCGAGGTGAACAATAAACGCAACAAAAAAAAAAAAAAAACCCAATCGCAATCGCGGCCAGGCGCAAAGCGCGTAAACAATAACAACGCCAGCTGTCAGCTAAATAATAGACACAACAGCAACAAGCTAACAAAACACACACACACGCACACACACACCATGTCGGAGCGCAAGCGTTATCACAAGGACAATGCGCCCACGGATGACATTATCACTCTTATCAATTTGGTGCGCCAGAATCCGGCGCTATATAACTACAAGTTGCAGCCGAACCAAAGGCGACGCCCGGACATACTCAGCGGCTGGCAGGAGGTCTCCCAGCAAATGGGCAGTGAGTAAAAAATCCCCTGATAAATAAATATAATCACATTTAACTTAACCCGCTTCCCCGCCCCCTTTCAGACAAGTACAGCGTGCAGGAGGTGCGACGCAAGTGGAAGAATCTGCGGGACACATATCATCAATACCGTCGACGCTCGCCCAAATGCATTGAGGGACGCCTGTCGAAGTGGCGATATGCCAAGCAGCTGGACTTCTTGTCGAAGGTCTATCAGCCGAAGCTGAAGGCGCATCGCAATGCGATGGCCGCTTTGGTACAGATCAAAAAGCAGCCGGAGGAGGATGACGATGTCGATGATGATGATGATGATGTTGTCAATGGCATACAGCATGATCACGATGTCGATCATGATATTATCGATGAAGATGGGCACTCGAACGCAACGGCCATGTCCTCCTCGCATCATGCCAGCTCACAAATAACGCTGGTCGATGAGACCGAAACATTCATATTGACCGCCTATGAGGAGAGCGTGGCTGATGATACGGTGCACACGCATCATCAGCATGCACATCATGGCCAGCAGCAGCAGCATCATCATCATCCTCATCATCACCATCATCATCAGCAGCAGCAGCATCAGCAGCAGCACCATCATCATCATCACCATCAGACGCAGCATGACGGCAGCATTTCCAGCATTGAATTGTCACAAATCACCCAGGACGACGACGACGACGACGTTGTCGACGATGGGCTGGACGACGATGATGATGAGGTCGTTGATCATGATGGCCAGGTGGTCGATATTGTTAAGCATGAACTGGACGAGGATGGCGTCGCCAACGGCACCGAGGTCGACTACGAGGAGGTTTGCCTCTACGAAGAGGCCAGCGGTCCGCACTGCGAACTGGGCGTCGATGGCAGCAGCGATGTAACCGATAGCAAGGGCTTCCATTACATTGATGCCGATGGCTTTTGCATTGAGGATATCGAAACGGAGCCCGAGCCGCGCAACACCGTTGCCGTGCCGCTGCGTGCCACACACCATGCCCAGCATCCGCATGCCCAGCATGCAACGCATCATTTTACCAGCGCAGCGACCGTCAGCAGCGCCACGGCCACGGCCACCAACAGCGTGCTATCGGGCAATGGCGGCGTCATCACAGCGGACGCCAAGCTGAAGAATCTCACGCTGGTCACCACGACGGCATCAGCGAGCAGCCAGCGCTGCCAAGATCCAGCTGCTGCCGGCGGCGGCGGCAACGGCAGCCAGCAGCAAATAGCGCTCGTCGATGTGACCGAGGCGACCAGCACCAGTGTCACCATATCGAGCACGCCGGCGGCTCCGTTAAATGCGGCAACGGTGAGCACCACGTTGCCAGCGGCAGCGGCAGCGGTGCCGGCGACAGCCACATTGTGCAATACTTCCACAAATACGCCGTACAATAGTGCTGCGACGGCGACAACTATTTTGCAGCTGCCGGCATTGAGCTGTGGCAATGGGAACGGCAACGGCGCCTCTTCTATCAGTGTCGCCTCGAGCAGCACGCTGATCAAGGACGATGAACAGCAACAGTTGGCGCAGGCGCTGATCAAGCGCGATGAGCTCGATTTGTTCTTTGATTTTCTCAAAAAGAAAATGCAATACTTTAGCAAGACGCAAATCACGCACATCCAAATGGAATTTCTCAATTGTGTCAGCCGGCAGGAGGTGGCCGACCAGGATGCCAAGGATTAGCTCCATAAGCCCAATTCTTTCATTTCAATCTATGTAGATTTGTAGCATAATATCCATAAAAAAACAAAAAACGATAAAAAAAAACAAAAAACAAATGGAAAACAGAAAAAAAGGAAAGCACCTGCACCTGCACCTGCCCGTGACCCTGCCCAGTTCTAGTTTCTTCTTCGCTTTCTTTTTTGTAAGTGTTTGTCTGTAGCTTTAGCCTCGCTTTAACCTGCATTCATATAGTATATACATATATATATATATATATATATATCCCTATATGCGTGTATACCTGTATATCCGTATGTTATGTTTTAACGTAAACCCCACAAAAATAAAAAAGAAAAAAACAAAAAATACAAATACCTAAACATAAACAATTAGCATGTACGGCCTTCAAGTGTAATGAATATAATTGTAAAATAAACTAATCAATTCTCGAAACAAACTGTTCAAATTGTAAACAAAAAACAAACAACATAAAAAAAAAAAACGCAATATTCATTTACCTTCCAACCGATCCAATTGCACGCGTGCGAGCCAAGCGGCAGCATCTCTCCTTCTCGCTCGCTCTCTCTCTCTCTCTCATAAGCCGTTAACTCGTCGCCTAACAGCGCGCACATCTGTTGATAACAGCGCGCCACTGTTGAATAACATGCGACATAACATGCGACTTAAAGGTTAGATAAAGACGACTTTAATATATATACATACATATATTCCTGATCAGCTTGAACAAACGTAGTTATAGACATGTCTGTCTGTTTGTTTCCATGCAAAATAGGTATTGTCCTGATCCGTTAAGAACAAATGTCCCGACAGACCGGAAAGAGCCATTATATCATCTGTCAAAGGTCAAAGGAATGGCCAGGAAATAGATTCTCATGCTTTATAGAGAGAATCGTTTGAATAATCAGTTTTTCGCATAGAATTATACGACATCCTCATTTTTTTTAAAAACATTGACAAAAAGCATATAAAATTTGAACTACAAATTATTTGAAATACCAACAATTTTTCTTTTAATTTACGTATGATTTAAGAATCCGAAACATTTTGAGGAATTCCAACTTTTTGGTTTTCTAACAATCTAAGACTAACATATATTTTTTTATTCAAGTACAACCGACTGCGCAATGCTCTGTAAATGTGACCCATTAAAATGACAAAATTAACATAACTTTGTAAAAAAAACGTAGCGATTTTCTAGTTAAACAACTTTGCTGCATCCAAAATTGTACTTATGGTAAATATCACTAAGTCAATTTGTAGGTGTTCAGTTTGAGACTAGTTTGTTATAGATTATCTTTGATATTTATTTGCGTTTAGCCTGCGATTGGCTCTCGTCCCGGCGCAGGATTAGCAGTTAACAACAACAACAAGAAGAACAACAACAACAACAACAATTGAGGGTTGGATGTGGTTGGAGGTTGAAGATTGTAAAAATTTGTAAACAAAACTTAAACGAAACAACTTAGGCTAGAGATTAGCGCTGGCCAATAAATACACAGACAACAGACATATATGCATACATAAATACATATATATACATATATATATATCTATATAGATCGCACTGTGTCCCGGTAGTCTGAAGGTTGGTTCAGGCATGTGGACTGACTCGACTTGGCCCTATCAACAACATCAACAACTGATGCACATTTTGGACGCAGATCACGCTGCCGGCGGCTCGGTCGGTTTGGGCAGAGGCAGTGTTTCACCCTTGAGCCGCGCAATAAACTCCGAGTTGAAGTAGATGACGGTGATGGTGATATCGTCCCGGTACAGGCGCACCACATCCTGCGGCAGCGACAAATAATACGAGATCTTCGAGTGCTCAATGCCATAGTCTGTGGCGCCCAGAGCATGGCGTATCAGATGCGTGGCCGCGTTCTGATCGATCGGCTTGCGTGTGAGACCCGCTCTGCAAAATATGCAAAATACGTCGGATTAAGACTGATTTCTCTTGAGGTTAACTCATATTTTGGCACCTACTTGCGCTCGGCTAGCCGCTCGGAGATTTGCTGCAGCGTTACATTGCCGGGCGGCAGGCGCATCGGCTCCATCGTTTTTTTCGAGTTAATGTGCTCGCCCACAAGGCTGACAACCTCGCTGGGCGTTAGGAAATCCCAGAGGCCGTCGCTGGCAATGACTAGAAACTTATCGTTCGCGCACAGCTCGTGCTGCTGCACATCGGGCCGGGCGGTCAGGTACGGTGGCGTATAATAATTTGGCGGCAACACCTGCTCCCCAAACATGGGCACCACCTTCTGCTGCAGCGTCTCCACCGGCCATTTGTAGCGATAGTCGCCGAAGGCGCGCAACGGCGCCAGCTGGCTGAGCAGCCGGCCATTTCGTATTACCGTTTCGCGCTCCTCGCGCGGATGCTCGCCGAGAATACGGCTCACCTCCTGCATATTATCCACATTGTGTTCGATGTTCAGCTTTTTGGGATGCCATTGATTCGTCTGCGGATCCAGTACGCCCAGCACGGCGCCACAATCCCCAGTGCTGGCCACATGCAGCTGCAGTCCCTCCAAGTGCACCAAACAGGCGACGGCGCCTGTCAGCGGGAAGAACATGAAAGAACAGAGTTGCAATTAGAGCGTGTCTGACGTTCAAATTTAACAGGCAGTTAAATAATTTTCACATCCTAATGTCAAATTGACTTAACTGCCAGTCAAGTGTACACAGTGAGGAATGAAGGCAACGAATTTGATGTTTTCGTCAATTAAATTAACTGCCAGTTAAGTGCGCATTTATTCAAACATGATTGCAACGCTGTGCAGCTACTTTCAAAAGTATAAAAATGCTGAGTTATTCTAATTATGAACCAATTTTCTCAATTTTTCTGAGTCAAATGCAGCCCTAACTAAATGACATTTTGCCAGGCTCCACTTTAAAGTGCGGATTAACTTTAACTAGAGACTTTCGATATAACATTTTCTACAGATTTGCGCAGCCAACTTAATGCACTTGCTGTTGGTGCTGCCAGATGGTTTAAAAGTATAAATTCCAACTGGGAAAATGAAATGCTTTCAGAATATGTAGCTCACCCGACAGCGCGACGCCCATGGTGCGCGCATCATTGTTGTCCAACGCCTCCTGGGCCAAATCCGCATCCAGCTGGAGAAAAGCGTGCTCCAGCTCGCTGGCCACATCCCGTTGCGGCTCCGCGGCCAAACGCTTGATGTACTGCTGAAAGCTGCGCTCATAGATGGGCCGTATTTCGCTGACAAAGTCGACCTTATCGTTGTGGCACTTGAGAAAGGACTGGCTGTCGGAGCCCTGTTTTAGCTGCTGCTTGAGCACCTGGCGCGGCAGCGTGCCGGCCGAAATGTAGCGCAGGAGTCGTTTGGAGACCACCTGGCCGCAGGCGGCGCCCGCATGGCCATCGAAGACGCCGCAAATAAAGCCGTTGCGGAACAAGAGGCTAGCCTCGGTGCGCGAATCCTCGCAGGGAAAATTGGAGCCGAGCTGATTTGTTTCATAGCTGCGTATGATGCCGTCCAGCGGGAAATTGTAAACAAACTCGTTCTCCTTCAGCGCAATATTCACCTGCAACAACAACAACAACAACACAACAACACAACAACAGTTAGCTGGATCGATACCCGAACAGCTGCATCGATACTTACATCGTAGGGACTTAGTTGGGGCAGTTGGGGTAGCAGCCGCAGGGCATTGAGACTGAAATCACGCACATTGTTGCGCACATAGCCAATGGCGTCGTGCAGCGCAAACCTTAACATCTATATATATATATATGTATATGCGAGTTATTTAGCGGCAGCGCCACAAAATCTTGCGTCTTTTCAATAACCTTCGGCGCACACGCTGGGCTGGTTAGCGTGGCGAATGGACGTTAACAGTTATGCAGTTAACAGTCAACGTTTGGCAATTATTCATGCGCCGTTGCGCGTCTGTTGTAGGTTGTGTATGCGCCTAACTCGTTTGTTGTTGTTGTTCTCTGTCTGTTATTGTACATTTGTGCAGTGCAAAAGTAAAAACAATATAAAAATAAAGCCGAAATAAAACGAACTAATGTCAAAATGTGACAGTTAGTGATGACAATATAATAACGAAACATGCATACGCGAATATCGATACTATCAATAATAATGCAAGTCGACTGTTATAAATGGTTTGTTTATTTGTGGGCAGCAGCGCAATCAGCCGCTTTAAAGGTGATTAGCTCAAATTGCTTATAAAATTCATGGTTTCATGTATTTTCCGAAAAACATTTTAAACTTCCTAAATGTATATGTTAAATCGATGCCAAATTTAAATTTGTAGCGTTGCCACTCTGTACTTGAGTACTAGCATGCGCATTGTACTCGTTTGCCAGCCCTGAAGCCAGCCTACACACACACACACATACAAAAATAGACGTGCGTTAGAAAAAAAAAAAAACAAACACAACTGAGCAGCTGAGTTACTTTAAATTCAATAAACAAAAAGGCTGCAGTTTATTTATACTTTGCTCTTCGCTGAGATTGTGAAAAATAAAATCAGCAGCACTTTGTCCTAAATAATTGAGTGTGCTCTTTGGAAGACAGAAGCGCGTCTAACGAAAAAAAAAAGGACTCGAAGCGAATTTGCGTATTAACGCAAAATAACAACAAACGAGAACGGGGCAAAGGGGCGACGCTCTGAAGCTGTTGGAGAGGGGAAGGGGAGGAGCACTACAACTAAAAACACACACAATGGTTGAGCCTATTTTTGATTATCAATTTCGCTTAATACTCATCGGCGACAGCACAGTGGGCAAAAGTTCGCTGCTCAAATTCTTTACAGATGGAAAATTTGCTGAGGTATGCGTTAAATTGTAATCTCAATATGTGTATCAATTGTGCGCAATAATAACAATTACATAATTAAGTGGCTAAAATGGCGAAAAATTATTAATAAAGACAAAGTCTGTTGTAGCCGCAGCCTCTCTAAGTGTGTGTGAGTGTGTGAGTGTATGTCGTGTGTGTGTGTGTGCGCTCGTTTCTTACTGATAATGCAAGCGCAGCAGCAGCAACAACAACAACAACAGAAAGTGTGGCAACCTTGGACTGCGCGCAAATATTTTTGAATTTGTGCTAAAACCCTTAATTGTTGATACTCTACATATTTTGTGATTTGTTTTTGTTGATAAACCCAATTTTCATTAATATATGCATTTTTGCAGCTATCAGATCCCACAGTGGGCGTTGACTTTTTCGCCCGCCTAATCGAAATGAAGGACGGCAAACAGATCAAACTGCAGCTGTGGGATACGGCCGGGCAGGAGCGTTTCCGTTCAATTACAAAGTCCTACTATCGCAATTCGGTCGGCGTGCTGCTCGTCTACGATATATCGAATCATGCCAGCTTTGAGCATATACCCCTCTGGATGATGGAGGCGCAGCGTCACATCGAGCCGCATCGGCCCGTGTTTGCGTTAGTCGGCTGTAAGCTGGATCTGGTGAATGCGGGCGGGCATCGCGAGGTGTCCACCGAGGAGGCGCAAACATTTGCCAAACAGCATGGCTTGCATTTTGTGGAGACATCGGCGCGCACCGGCGCCAACGTTGAGGAGGCTTTCCGCATGGTCACACAGGAGGTCTATGCCCGCATACGTTCCGGCGAATACAAGGCCGAGGACGGCTGGGATGGCATCAAGTCGGGATTTGCGCGGCCCAATAGTCTGGACTTTAATCTGGTTATGGCTGAGCCCGAAAAATCCTCCTGCTGTTGATTAAATTAAACCGACGGCGTGTGTTTAATTTGATTTGTTTTGTTTCCAAGTTTCCATACATATACATTATATGCAATGTATATATATATTATTATTATTTTTTTTTGTAATCGGAATTTTAATTGATCGTGCACTTTGTTGATCTTTGTCCTCATATTACGTGCATTGATGGCGATTTGTAACATTTTTTTTGTTGACTCGTTTTTAATAGCGCACCAAAAAGAACTAAGAATATAGAAATCAAAATAAGGAAGTGCAAGCGTATTGTACAAATATATATATATATATATGTATTGCAGATATTTTTAGTTTCGTTCTTAAGTTAATCCAAATATTTTAACACAAACATTTGCATCGTTGACGATGACCATTCGGCCGATTAGATGACTCATTTAAGTACAATATGTTATTTGCCTTTTACCCAAAACCAAACTAAATCTAACCGAAAGCGAAAAAACAGCCAAGCGTCATTCACAAAACTCTTTTTCTGATTAAAAACTTTTTCAGCTTTATACGTAGCAGAGATTTGTGCTCTACTAATTAACTTATACAAGAAATACTTATATATATATACACATATAAAAAGCAAGGATGCATATACTTGAACTTGAAATATAAACGTTTTTATTGATTAATCAGCGTTTTAATTGATTAATAACTGTTAAAGGCAGCAAACATTTTAAAGCTGCCGCCTAATGGCGCACAGTCTGGCAACGCGCTTGCCCTGACCAGCTGTATTACAGTGGCAGCTCAGCTGTTAATGCCTGGGCATCGAGTACTTTTTGTTCGGCAGCTGATTTAGCGATTTTTATGCAAAATTTGCAATGTTTTGTAATTATTGAATTAGTTATAAGTTTATAAGCACTCAACGATTTGTTGCTGTCAGGCTGTAGTGAAATTTGAAATTAAAAAACAACATTGGCCGTGTGGCAAGTGCTAAATATCGATGCCAGTTTAGCTATCGATATACATATCACTATCGAGTTTGCTGTCAAAAAAACAGTCTTTTTTTTGTAGTGTGTCTAACACACAGATACTCCAGATTAGCGCGTGCCACTTTTAATTTCGACGGCCACACACAAAAAAAAAAAAATATCACACACACAATAAACTTGTACTGACAAAATAACCAATATGGGTAACGTGCTAGCGGCATCATCCGGCCTCGATACAACGGCGGCGCGCAGCAACAGTGTGGCTGCCAGCCTGGGTTTGCCGGAACCAGCCGCAATTCCAACAGAGCCAACACCATCGGCAGCGACTGCCGCCGATGCCAGCGTTGCGGCCAAGGACCATCAATTGGAAAATCCCGGCACCGTTGAGGAGTTGCATAAAAAATGCAAAGGTATGCAATGTCATTCAGTAAATTCAATACACAATAGCAAATGTTTCGCACTGATGACATAACCTACAACCATGTGAAGGGGGCGGAGGGGGGTCATACTGCGGCCCCTGTACGTGTGCTTGTGAGTGCGTGTGCGTGCGTGCGTGCGTGTGCGTTGGGTTCTGATTATGTATTATCAGTGCATATACAGCGAAAGCTCCCATAAACGGACACACACCTTTGCGGTGTTCGGTTAGATGTCCGCTTATGAGAGACACATGCATTCTGGTACAGTTCAAATACTCTCTTCGAGTTGCACAATTATTAAACAATTAGGAAAAAGTGCAATTATCAATTACAATTTCATAATATTGCGCTAAATATGACAAGCTCGAACTGCAACCAGCCCTTGAGAGCATGGAAGACACCGAGGCTGACGAACTGATACACAGGCAGGAAGCCGGCTCGAAACGTAAACAAACGAAATGCAATTCTTGTTTCTGAGTCGAACTTTCAATCTGTGTGTGGAACTTGCTTCGATATGGATAACCTTTGTGATTCTTCTCTAACCGACTCACCTTTATTCTCACGCAGATGTGCAGGCCATCACGTTCGAGGGCGCCAAGATCATGCTGAACAAGGGCCTGAGCAATCACTTTCAGGTATCGCACACGATCAACATGAGCACCACAGTGCCCAGTGGTTATCGCTTTGGTGCCACCTACGTGGGCACCAAACAGTACAGCCCCACCGAGGCGTTTCCCGTGCTGCTGGGCGACATTGATCCATCGGGCAATCTGAATGCGAATGTCATACATCAGTTCTCATCACGTTTGCGCTGCAAATTCGCCTCCCAGGTAAGTGGCAGCTTTTACTTCCACTTCCATTTGCTAATTGTGCCTCTCTTACAGATTCAGGAGTCCAAAATGATGGCCACACAGCTGAGCACAGACTATCGAGGCAATGATTTTACCGCCTCGATCACGCTGGGCAATCCCAGCATATTTACCAATTCCGGCGTTGTTGTTGGCCAATATCTACAGTCGGTTACGCAGCGCATGGCCCTCGGCGCCGAGGTGGCCTATCAGTATGGCCCCAATGTGCCCGGACGCCAGATTGCGATTGTCTCCGCCCTGGGCCGCTATTCCAATGGCGACTCCATTTGGTCCGGCACCCTCGGACCAAGCGGTCTGCATTTGTGCTACTATCAAAAGGCCAGCGAGCAGCTGCAAATTGGCGTCGAGGTGGAAACAAGTCTTCGCATGCAGGAGTCCGTCGCGACCATAGCCTATCAAATTGATTTGCCCAAGGCGGATTTGGTGTTCAGAGGTTAGCCATTTGAATCTTATAGCTTCCATATCTAAAACTCTTCTCGCTGACAAACTGAAATGCTCTAAGAGCTAGGCAATTTTTACTGTAGTTACGTGGCTCTTGCACATTCCACGCACAATAGCGGAAAATGAGCGGAAAACGTTTTTATTCAAGTCATTGTTTAGATCAGCTTTCAATACATCTTCCAAAAGATCATTGTGACAATTCACGCGAGATGGGTTTCACACGTTTCGCAAATTCCACGCCCCTTGGCTGAAAGATGCGCGGAAAAGTTTCATTTTCAGCTTTAAGCTCACTTAATTGGAAAATAGTGAGAAAATCGTGTGTACGCAACTTTCTTGTTTTCCATTCATTCTAGCTAAACATTTACTCTTCGTATAATTTCTGTTTCTCTTTGACTTAGTTTGTTTATTCGAAAGTTTAAATATCGCTCGAGCGAATTGTAAGCCAAACTTTTTGCACGCAGCGTTTTTGGCAAATTCACGCCAGCTGGCGGAAAATGCGCAAAAACTTGTTGAATGCAAATTGTGTTCTTGTCTAACGAAACTTCTCGTTTTTCTGGTTGTCTTAAGCAAACTTGGCATTTGCGAGTGCTTTTTATTTATATAAGCTAGATCTTATCAATATCGAAGCACTATATCTAGTTATATAAAATATTAGCATATGGTTCTATAAAAGATACGCTTGTAGAATAAGTTTTAATGTGTCAAACATTGATGTTTTACAAAATGTGTGCACCAAACTCTGCAATTGCGAGCTTCACACTTCTCTCAGTTATGTGCAAAGTGTATTTCGAGTTCGGCGTGCTTTTCAAGCGTTGCGAACAGAAATTCATTTGCATAGATCGAAACTTACATAGAATGAAACTGGAGACGCAGACACGAAACAAGGCTAGGTTTTCTTTTTTTGGTAAATTTGATTTGTATGAACATATTATAATATATTCAATTTCTTGCAGGCTCCATCGACTCAAATTGGCACATTTCGGGCGTGCTGGAAAAGCGCCTGCAGCCGCTGCCCTTCTCCTTTGCGCTGAGCGGACGCATGAATCATGTGAAGAATAACTTTAAGCTTGGCTGCGGACTGATGATTGGTTAAGCCTCAACACAACAACAACAACAACAACAACAACAACAACAACAGCACCAGCAACAACAACAACAACAACAACAACAACACATCAAACAGTCGCAGAAACAGAAAAATTCAGAGATACAGATCGTAGACATGGAATTATCAACAAAATCATTATTGTAGTCGTTTATCATACACACACACACACACACATACACCTCATACACACACACACACACACAACTGCAGCAAGCATAGCATATATATATATATATATATACCCATATATATATGCATTTGTTCAATTTGTTTTTATTCCGAATCGATTTTTGATAATTTGACACTCAAAAATGAAATTGCAATGGTCAAAAAATGTGCTAAATTCCAAAAAGAAAACAACAAACAAACAATTCAACAACAACAAACAAGCAACAACAACTGGCAGCAGGCAATTATAGCAAACAAATCAGCAAGTAAATTCCTTTGAACATAAACACGAGCTTGTACACAACGAGGGGAGCATTAGTTGCAGAACACAAGCACCTTGTTAAATGTAAAATACACAATTAGCTGTATTTGGTATTAGTTTACACAATAATAATATAATATAATAACAAACAACATAATAATAATAATAATAAACTAAACAAAAGAAAACGAGAAAAATCGGAGGCAATTCTTTGTTTAAGTCACATTTTAACTGCTGTCTGTACATATATCTATATATATATACACGTATATCTATCATAATATATCATATGTATCATCTAAACTAGATTGCCTGCCCTGCCCCCTCTCTCTCACACACACACACACACACACACATACGCTCATACGGGCGCACGCAGAGAATTCCAAATACCACAAAAGCCAGTTATCATTTTGTACACCTAAGTTGTTTTCCTAAAAAGCCATATTTTGAACGCATTTCATGTTGTAACATTTTACCCAGTGCAGCAGCGCTCAAGTGACGAGTAGAGCTACCGACGAGTAGCTACCAACTTCAGCGAGTAAATTAAAAATGTGTTGAAAAGCGGGCTTTAAAAAAATATATCTATTTAAAAGCAAAATAAAATTAAACCCCCAACTGCTTTAAGTTTATAATTTGTCAAGTAAAACGAGTAAAGCTTCCAATAAGCTGCTCTGCCAGCACTTAGTCACTCGCTGGAAAAAATGTGTAACAAAAATATGTTGAAACTTATTTAAAAAAAAACTGAAAATATAATCCAAAAGCTTTAAGTATATATTTTTTAAAGTAACGAGTAACGTTTCCGAGGAACAGCTCTAAAAATGCTTAAAACTACTCGCTCGAAAAAAATGTGTTAAAAATGGGCTAAAAAATGTGTTGAAACTTCTTTTTAAAATAAATTAAACCTATAACCCAAACAGCTTTAAGTTTATAAAAATGTAAATTAACGAGTAACGCTTTCAACGAGTAGCTCTGCACACACTTGAAGCTACTCGCTGGATAAATACGTTGAAAATGGGCGAACTAAATATTTTGAAAATTATTTAAAAAACAAACATTAATAAAATCCAAGCCGCTTTAAGTTTAATGTTTATAATGTAACGAGTAAAACTTCCAACGAGCAGCTCTGCAAGCGCCTAAAACTACTCGCTGGAAAAAATTCGTTAAAAATGGGCTAAAAGATATGTTGAAACTTATTTTCAAAACAAATGAAAACTAAAACCCCAATTGCCTTAAGTTTAAATTTATAAAGTAACGAGTAAAGCTCTCCACGAGTAGCTCTGCAAACACTTGAAGCCACTTTAAGTTTATAATTTATATAAATACGATTTAGTTTCTAGTTGCGGCTGACAGGCAAATTTCGTTAAATATATGTACAATTATTTAATTGTTTTCTTGCAGACGCCACACAAAAAGCTGTAGGGAAAACCAACCGAACAACAAAAAGGAAGCAAAACAAATAAAAAAGAAAATAACAAAAAAAAAAAAAAGAAAATATTTTAAATGTGGAAATTTAATTGAAAGCAAACAAAAGCAAAAATGAATACGTATTAGTAAATATATATGTAGTTAAATGTAAATGTACACAGATCTACCTCTCTCTCTCTCTCTCTCTCTCTCTCTCTCTCTGTCGCTTTCGAACACTGCTTTGCAATGCTGCTCAAACTGCAGACAACCAAAAAACTGTAAATTGTAAAATTGTGCTTCAATTGCTAGCACTTGCATATTGCTATCTCCCTTGCACACACTAGAGCTGGACGCGTGCTGCTCAAACTGTAATGCACTAAGCCAATTACAGTGCTGTTCAAACTGCAGCCAGATTGAAAGAGTTTAACGTAAAGAAGCATGTGTATTTACTTGAAAATTGAAATTTAATTACATTTATCTATTTTTTTCCTCTGTTATGCAGCTCAAACTGGCAATGAGTAAAAATACAAAATACAACAACTTTTGTTAACCCATCGATTTTTAATTTCTTTGAATGCCAATTGATAGTTGGGATCCGTACGAATTTAAAAAGGTATAACATTTCAAAATAAGAGACTCTCTTTATTACTCAATCGCTGCAGCTGCAGCTGCAGCTGTTGTTTAACAAACCAAATCAAAAAACGTGGTATGCAAGTCGATTCCAGAGATGGATACGAGTTCAAAAAGGTATAAATTTCCATTTTTAGCCAAATTATCGCAAAAAAACGAAAAAATTGCTGTATCTCGGCCAAATAAGCCCCGATCTTGGAAAGATTGGTCTCGTTCGACTCGTGGTCACATCCATTTTCAGCCAACATCGTAATTTTTGCAAAAAACATAGATAGTTTTTCTCAAATTGGGCCATTTCTTAGAATTCCGATTATTTGGTGTCAATCGATAGTCGGGATCCGTACGAGAAGAAAAAAGGTATATCATTTCGAAATCGGACATTATGGTATCCGAGATATTTCAATTTTAATTTTAATTTCAAAAATAAGGTCTCAAACGTATTATGGTAGACAGCTAAAAACCGCTACAAACGGCTATAAATGGCTAAATAAAGCCCCTGTTCGCCTGGTATTTTGGCAGATTTGAAGAAAAATCTCGGCACGGGTGTGCAATAAATAGACCGTGTTGATTTTTGAATTTTTAAATAAAAAAACAGGAATTTCAGTGTTTTTTTTCAATAATTGATTTATTTATGTTGTATTTTCTGAATTATTTCTCTTAAAATTCTACAAATCGAGCATAAATTAAAATTGTAGCTTATTTAAACTTAAAATAACTATATCTATATCCGATCCTGGAAAAATGTGCTTTGCCACTCGTGAAGGTCCTTAGAGCTCATTGTAGTCCCTAATTTGTCAGTCTGAAAAGATAAAAAAACACATTTAAACAAGGCAAAAAATATATGAAGGCATTTTATGAAAGGGAAAAAGGCCATAACTCGGTCATGTCCTTGCAGATTTTCAAAGGACATGGCGCGTTAGGATCTAAGAATCCCAGGACTTGTAGTTTGACTTGTAAAATTTGATTCGCGGAGCGCACGGAAATTGGCTAAAAACACATTTCCTTGAATATTTCCTAAACTACAAGGACGATCTAAATGAAATTTGGCCAGTTGGTAGTCCTGGCTTATTTTTAAAGATCCGACATATTCATCTACTTATTTATTTAATGCTCCTAAAAATTTGATATATTAAATTAAATTCAATTCAATTCTATCCAATTAGTCGAAATTGAAGTTTTTGTCCAAAACCTTTGTGTGCAAGGGTATTTAGTCTTCGGCGTGCCGCAGATAGCACTGTTTGTTTTCTTGACTCCATTCAATCCTGTTTCAGACTTCGTACATGAAGTTTTCGTTTATTTTTGGTTGAACAGCAGCCCAGCCCTGGGCAACAGCATACGCGCCTTGAGATTGAGCCAGCGACTTCTAAACAGCTTCCGGAAACGCCCATGGAACGGCCTTTAAATTAACAAATATGCATTATCTAAACACATACAATAATTATACAAATTCTTTAAATACATATATATGAAACTCACACACATACATAACTATTATATATATTCCTATTCCGCATAGCTGGAAATTTGTATTTAAAAATGTCAGCCTCATGTTTAGGTTTAGCTCTGGTCAAGTCTGATTCAATGAATGTAAAATTAATTGAAATGCAATCAAATACAATAAATGTTGAACAAATTATCTCTATATATAAAACTGTTTGTCCTGACTGACTGACTGACTGATTGACTGACTGATTGACTGACTGACTGACTGACTGACTGATTGACTGACTGATTGACTGACTGACTGACTGACTGACTGACTGACTGACTGATTGACTGACTGATTGACTGACTGACTGACTGACTGACTGACTGACTGACTGACTGACTGATTGACTGACTGATTGACTGACTGACTGACTGATTGATTGACTGATCAACGCACAGGCCAAACCGTAAGAGCTAGGAAGCTGCAATTTTCACTGTAGTTACCTTATGTGATTAAGGTGCACGTTAAGAAGGGGTTTCTAAAAATTCCACCCGCAAGTGTGAAAAATCGCGAAAAACGCTTGGATGTAACTTTTATGTTTACCATCCGATCGGCCTTAAACTTATTTTCAAAGATCTTTGTTCAAATTAATTTGAGGGGTGTTTCACACTTTTCGAAAAATCCGTTCCTCCTTGGTGGAAATGGAGGTCAAAGATTTGGTGGATGACGATTTGTGTTCAAATTTATTTCCAAAGATCTATAAGAAAAATCATTTGAGACGGGTTTCACAGATTTCGCAAAATCTAAACTCCTTCGGTGGAAAATTCATTTCAAAGATTTTTTTTGGCGAATTTTAATTTTGTCTGATTTGCATAAAAGTTGTTTGATTCCCGTCGGATCAGTTTCAAAATCATTTTCAAAGCTATTTGAAAACATTGATTTTATAACATACGTGCCACGGGCAAGGCTGGGCTATACCCGCTAATTAAATAATATATATACATATGTATACCATAAACTTCCTTAGAATTGGAATACAGCTGAAAAGTATGCTATATACGTTAAACAATTCTTTTCTTCGGTTCGAAAATCCTAACTTTTTTGATGATTTTTTTTGAATATCTCGGGTATATATCGTCCGATTTCGAAATGTTATACCTTTTTAAATTCGTACGGATCCCTACTATAAATTGGCATTCAAAGAAATTAAAAATCGATGGGTTAAAAAAATTGGTGGACCATAAAACGATTCGTTTGTAAAGTCAACCTTTTTTGATGTTTTTTTGGAATTTCTCGGCCAAATAATGTCAGATTTTGGAATTTTATACCATTTTGGACTCGTAAGGATCAGTACTATCGATTGGCATCAAAAAAATGAAAATCTAAATTTTGGCCCAAATTGACCAAAATGGCAAGGGGTTACATCACGTTTTTTTTCAAAATCGGGGTCGGTTCGAAAATCCTAACTTTTTTGATGATTTTTTTTGAATATCTCGGGTATATATCGTCCGATTTCGAAATGTTATACCTTTTTAAATTCGTACGGATCCCTACTATAAATTGGCATTCAAAGAAATTAAAAATCGATGGGTTAAAAAAATGGGTGGACCATAAAACGATTCGTTTGTAAAGTCAACCTTTTTTGATGTTTTTTTGGAATTTCTCGGCCAAATAATGTCAGATTTTGGAATTTTATACCATTTTGGACTCGTAAGGATCAGTACTATCGATTGGCATCAAAAAAATGAAAATCTAAATTTTGGCCCAAATTGACCAAAATGGCAAGGGGTTACATCACGTTATTTTTCAAAATCGGGGTCGGTTCGAAAATCCTAACTTTTTTGATGATTTTTTTTGAATATCTCGGGTATATATCGTCCGATTTCGAAATGTTATACCTTTTTAAATTCGTACGGATCCCTACTATAAATTGGCATTCAAAGAAATTAAAAATCGATGGGTTAAAAAAATTGGTGGACCATAAAACGATTCGTTTGTAAAGTCAACCTTTTTTGATGTTTTTTTGGAATTTCTCGGCCAAATAATGTCAGATTTTGGAATTTTATACCATTTTGGACTCGTAAGGATCAGTACTATCGATTGGCATCAAAAAAATGAAAATCTAAATTTTGGCCCAAATTGACCAAAATGGCAAGGGGTT